GTACACGTGATGCCTCACTGTTCCAAGCAAGCTTTTCGTCTTGTATTTGGGGCATTGCTTTTCGCCATTGTTCTACTGACCTTGGTAGAAAAGCAACAATAAGTGAGACTGAGCAGTTTGGGTCGTAAAAAACGTATGACAGACTTCTAAAAACAGGCTTTGTTTTGTATCTCAACGGTACCTACTTTTAGGTCGTGAAGAATGCACTTGCTAACTTCTCACTTATCATCATTTTCACTGCATATATCAGAATGGAATCTGTCGTTACTTCATTTAAGAGTTATCTTGAATGTGTTGAAAATGTGAATTTTTCAAGAGCGGAGAAAAGCAAGAAAAACGGGTTTTCTTGATAGCGCTTCGCACACAACACTGAGGTGGCCATCCTTGGTCGGTTCTATTCACGACACTCTACGGAAAAAAAACGTTCTGCAGTAGCACCCTTTCGGTGCACAGCTCCCATGCCACCCAAAGGAAGTACGAGAGCTGGGATACTGCCAGGATGCCACACCGCAGACAGGGGAATTCGAGATGCAGAGGCCGGGTTCAAAAAACGGACATTCCGGTCAGTAAATTCGCGCTCTTACTACTGAGCCATCTCGCTTACTCTGTAGTCTAACTTGAGAATCCGACGAGGGATGTAGGTTTATGCATGAGTACCACAACTGTGACAATATTTGGTTAACTTTGGAAGACAACCTGAATGAAAGTTGGCAAGGCTTGGTTTTTTTTTTACCAGAGGGCATGATTATTCTTTGTCAGGGGCAACAATGCTCAGCTAAATGATATCACAAACATCAGCTGATAGTCCGCCACAATCCTCCTGAGATATTGACACAGTAGATCACAACATGCAATGCCAACGTGTTTCATGATGAGGTTTACGGAATGGTCGATTTTCAGAGGCTTGTTATGTCATAGAAGTCTACATAGTGGTTGAAACAATGTGGTAATGACCACATTGTCTTTTTCTCCCAGTGTTTTAAACAATTTGCTGGCTATTCTTCGACAACGCTCCTAAAACTCTAAAGGTTTCAGCCCCAAATCCCTCATTTAGGCTAATTCGAACCCAAGCTGCCATCTTCTACAAACCAGTTTGAAATTTTCAATCGAACGACATATACCAAGTGATACTCTTCACATGGCATTGCCAGGTCAATATTGAACTGCGTGACATTCGGGAGTGATCAAATCCTGTCATACTGACGTGGCACCTTTTGTCACGATTCTAGTGTCAACCAGGTTGACCCCGTGCAAGTTATGGGAACTTTGCACCGTTCGACTTCACGATAAACTGGAGATCCCGAGAACGGATCTTACCTAGGAGCTTTTGAAAATTCGAAATAAAACCGAAACGTCAAGAGTAAAGGCGCACTTCAATGATGAGAAATGCACACGTCCACTCCAAATAGAAAAGCTATTGCATCATAAAACAAGCAGACACTCCCAAGGGGAAAAGTCCATTATGGTCACCCCATAATAAACTTCAGCTTCGGTGAACCCCGCTTGATCCATTAGACCGGATGACTGATTCTGGTTTTCCTTTGGCTACCTTAGCTTCAGCGGCACATCTATTTTAAAGTTCTTGTGAAGTAGTGGTGTAACTCATGTGTTTGATTAGACCAACGCTAATGTAACTGGAAACTGTCTTTGCATTCAAATAAACATGGTATGCTAATTCATTATTAACAAAACTGCTGCCCCTGTGTTTCAGCCAAACGTTGGATGGACCTTAAGAAGTAAGTCTGGCAGACAACAGCTACGCGGATTCACACGCAACTTGGGCGCTATCGTATAATCGTTTGTCCTCTTAAAGGAGATCAACCACTGTGGTGGCAGAGATACTGACTTACTGACTTATTTATCTATCAACACTCAACCCATTGACTTTAGACACGGACGTAAGGGGTCACCATGTGTGCAAAAAGGCAAAACCTTAGCTACAGTAGAATCTACGGTTGCGCGACTGACGAATTTCAAGTAGAGAATAAGGATTTCGGTGACCTTCTTACAAATAATTTGAACTAACATCATATACTCACAGAGATAAGTTACCTGAGAATTCCCATGAGTTCAATCACTATAAGTCAGAGTTTCCAATGCGAATCAGATCCATCACCGTACGATAGGCAGATAGACAAAAGAAGGGTCGGAAATGGTAATCGTCCGCAGTCTCACTCATGCTTCATCCAAGTTGCAGCTCACAAGCCATTCATCACGTAATGGTGGCCGTAATAAAGTCAACTATTTGGAATACTCTTAGCTCTTAAGTGAATTCGTCATAGTGGACGTGTACGTCTTCCCTGAATGTTTGAACTTCTGTCGCGATACCTCAGTGGTTTGGGATGCAAAGTGGTAGAGAAATGTAAACTACAACTTAGTCAGGTTCTAATGAGCTAACCAATTTTGTCCTAGGCATTCATCTGAATTCGGTCTCGGTCGCCGACCTCACTCACGCGCATACTGTACACCGGAACTGACATAGCACCTGGCCGTATGGGCCCAATTCCCGTTAGCCTTTCAGAAGATCCAATGATCGATGTTGGTGCGCTTTCACATGTTTACTGATCCTCGCGTCCTTCTACCCGAGTAAATGAGACCTCGTTAGCTATGAGAGTGATCCGGTAGGGGTTTCTTTTACGTACTACTTGTGTCACAAACACCTTTGTCACTCGTAGCCTCATCAGAGCTAATTCCACATACTTAGTTATCAGGCTTTGTTTCACTACAGTAGGTAGAATGTACGTGCGAACTCCTATTGGCAGCCTTATAAATAAGTGCTCACGGATTCATGAGCGAAACTGCGTACATCCAACATACCCAATGCGGTTTTTTGTGACGGCTAACAGATAGCACGCACTCACCATTCCGATGAATAAGTGTCCAATTATGACTGATCTTCACATGTTTGCTACCCTAATAGGGCAACCTTTTTTCCAACTAGACGATATTCGAAACTCGCTGCCTTTCGTTCTTATAAATTCTATCCACCTAAGATTTATAGCTTCGTAGCAGCTATACTATAGTCAGACACATACATAAAACAAATCATAACAAAGACTTGCAGTAGTGAGAAAATATGAGTTTGCATGTCGCACGGGTACTGTAGGTTGACGCGGTTGGGATCCTCCTTTATAAGATATAACGGGGACCACCACAAATTCTTGCCACAAAGTTGGTGAGAATATCAATAAATATTTCCGTGCACCTGCAAATATGTTTCAGTGACTAGAGTTATTTCTGATTAAGCAGCAGACAGATGAAACTGTCACATGACCCGAGAGGCGACTGCACTATGAGTTGCATTCTACACCCCTCGACAACCTAATGAGATCACTGATAAGTTCCGCCATTATTCAGCTTTTGAATGATAGGAATAAATAACGAAACAAACAAGCACGTAATGTTCAAGAATATTACTCGAAAACAAAGCACACAAAACACATGAATGGAGAATAATCGTGGAGAAGTTGCATGATCTTTTTAAAGTACTTTTCATCGCCACAGCTTTGTATTCGGTCAGTTTGCAAACTCTCTGCATATAGTTTGTAGTAATCCTGATTGGCGTCTGGATAATATCTTGATCAGTACCTTTCTATCCTCGTCTCAGAAAAACGAAAAATCATCTTCAGAGACACAGACATGTGTGCTGTTGTACATGCAGCTTGTAGGGAATCTGACAGGTTGGGATCAGTACTGCACCTTGATCTGTCCAACAGATCCACGGGACGTGACACAATCAGCTGTTGATGAGCTGTGACGCTTGAATCCCTGCGTCGATTTCTACAAACGCCTAACTATCGCTGATGATGAAGCGCATTGTTCAGTGTTCCAATTTCTGAATGGTCAGAGTATCATTAACCTTCACTGTTGCTGATTTCCTCATGGTTGTTACACAGTTGACGCAAGGTTTAATTGAAAACACACCAAGGCTACGAAAACAGTGCTTAATCGCAGTGTGACCGCTACACACCCACAGAAAAGTGCGAACCAAAAAAGTATGTTAGATCCAAATGAGGGCACATCAACAAAAGGAATGAAAAAGGAGACAGAAAGAGGAAGAGAGAGGGAAATGGAGTGAATGAGTAAATGGATGGATAAATGCACAATCCAAAAACGGATGTGGAAACCAACTATATTAAAACCAGATGAGGAGGTTTCCATCTTCGAAATATGGTTCTAATCCGGAAGAAACCTCGCTTGAGCTGCACGTAACCTTTATCTTAGCGGGAGTGGAGGTGCCAAATAAAAGTATAGTTTTTTAATGGTTCACGAAATAACTTTGGGTTTAAGTCAATTAAGGGACTTGTGAAGCTTGCCGACCATTGGGAATGCTGCGTTCTAATTTGGAATAGTTTTTCCGTGACTAAGAAGTCAAGTCATGAATAACAAGATTTAGTCCAGGGCACAACTGGCACGTTGGACACATTTGTATTCTCAGTGAGTCAGGCGAATGCGACTGGTCTCTGGTTTCTATTTAAGCAGATACTATTGGGCAATGGATTCACAAACGGTGTCTGTAAAAGTATTAATCTGAAGCTTTTTTTACAGATGGCGAAGTTTGGATCCAGTTATATAAATATACATTAAGCCATGCAAATCCAGGCTAAAAGGCATCCTAAGTCGTCTAACTTGCCAGACGAGCCAAGTTGGCTAGTAAGTGCGGGCGGGAAGCAATCGATGATTTTGAATTTTCCGATCGATCGCTGCCAGGTAAACTAGGCAGTCCATAAATGACGCTGGTACCGTAGCAGAGTTTGTGCCTTTTCGGTCAATTTATCCACTCTTTTGATACCCTAAATTCGTCGTACACTTTTGGATTATCTGGAACCCAACTGGTAGGTGATCAAGTATACTTCTCAGATATTTTAATTCTAGTGACTAAGTGGCTGTCTGTGCCCGGTCGAACATTGCTAAGAAAAGGTCATCGGATCCTTTTCGAAAGCTAAAGACCCCGTACAGAAAGGCACCGTGAAAGGACCGAACGCGGCAGCCGTTTAATAATGTCTCAGGATAGCCGAACTGAAGACAGAACATTGAGGAATACCATTTCGACTACGATTTTTCCTCCGCAAAGTTCAAGCGCACCGGGACAAGACCAGCGCGCTTGTGGTGATACAGGCGACGACCACTGTACTGAGAGTAAGACAATTCACAACACGGTGAATATGTTGTGTAATCCTGCAGAACCAAATTTTATGAACAATGAAGTACGGAACAGTGCCTCAGTAGACGTCCACGATGTCCACGAATATGACGCCCCACCTGGGAAAACCTGTGGAGTGGAACAGAAGGAAGTAACTTCGGACATTAACAATGCAGCATCTAGCTTGAACCATCCAACAATTCCAAGTTCAAAGCATCTGACTGGGGTTCCAGAGGTGGAAGAAAAGGATAGCCATGAGAAATCCAGCACAGATTCTACCAACTACTCGACATCGATCTCGCCTTGCTCCGACAATGCGGATAAAGTTGTTCCAGGTTCCCCTATGCCACACACAATGAAGAAATCACCTTCCAAAGAGACCCAGTTGAATAGACCCGTGATAGATGAATTGCAGAAGTACCCAATGTTTCAGAAGCAGAAAGAAATGACCGAAAAATTTGGAATAAAGAAAGACTCCGTTTGTATCATGGATAGCAAGTCAGCGCCGACGGCTGATTTCAAAATATTGAATGGTGCATCATACCTACATACCCACAAAGCGGGTGATATTTATTCCCAGGGTGTTTGTCCTTCATCACCAATGAAATCACAAGACTCATCGGCCATTGAAGACAATTACGTATACTACTCGAACGAAGATGGGTGCTCTCATGAAATGCAACAGCACTACGGACCAGCTGATCCATACTTGATGGGTCAGTGCAACGGGGCGTTTGGCCGACGAAATGTGCTGAATGCTAGAAAGGTGCCCGTAAACGTGAACGGATTCGATGCGCGTCAACCCAGGGGATCAAACAATTATTTGGTTCGTGCATCAAGTCCGATGCCCAACAGTGAATGGTTGCCATCAGGTATGCAACCAACATCACCGACGGAAAACGTGGCAAATCCAAATTATGCTGGGGATAACGCCAACAAAACGAACTTAATTGTCAATTATCTTCCACCGTTCATGTCTCAAGAAGAAGTGAAGGCACTTTTCTCTAGCATAGGCGAAGTTGAGAGTTGCAAGTTGGTACGAGAAAAAGCGACCGGCGAGAGTTTGGGCTATGCCTTCGTAAAGTACATTCGTGCAGCTGATGCTGAAAAAGCTATACGAACGTTGAATGGTCTCCGGCTTCAGAATAAGACAATCAAGGTTTCTTTGGCTCGTCCCAGTTCAGAGTCAATCAAAGGAGCAAACCTTTACATCTGTGGATTGCCAAAGAAGATGACCCAGACAGAATTGGAAGATTTGTTTAAACAATGTGGTCGGATCATCACTGCACGCATCCTGTATGACAACAAAACTGGACTCTCCAGAGGTGTTGCTTTTATTCGTTTTGACCAAAGACACGAAGCTGAGTTGGCTATCCGACGTTTGAATGGGTACCAAGCTCCACCAGAACACCCGAATGGTGTACCGAGTGAACCAATCACGGTAAAATTCGCCAACTCACCAAATTCGATTCGACATGATAGTCTAAGTCTCGCCTTGTTGAAGCAGGCTGCTCAACTTCAGTCTGTTGCTGCTTCTGTCGTAACGCCACCGTCGAGGACAGCTGCAACGGCTGCAGCCACGGCAGTAGCTGCTGCGGGGTTACTCAATCCGCTTCAACAAATTGCCTCTATTTCGAATAGGTTGAAATATTCCAATGCGTTAACTGGTGGTGCTGGGTCTCCAGGATCAACACCGGCCGACTTTTTACCAGCGATGGCAAGTGCAGCTGCTGTGGTCAACCCATTACTGGCTCCAGCGGTAGCCGCGAGCTCAGGAGCGTTGACTGCTACCGGATGGTGCATTTTTGTCTATAATCTTGCGCCAGAAACTGAAGAAGCTAATCTGTGGCAACTGTTTGGACCCTTTGGTGCAGTCCAAACAGTCAAAATAATCCGCGATCCTACCAGCAACAAATGCAAAGGATTTGGGTTTGTCACAATGAGCAATTATGAAGAAGCTCTCCTTGCCATACACTCACTGAATGGTTTCGCCCTTGGGAACCGAGTGCTACAGGTATCATTTAAAACCACACCAAACTCCAAGCTGAGACCATCGTCGTCCAACACGCCACCGCAAGCAGTTAGTCCAATGCCTACAGGTGCCCTGTCTGGACTAAACACTATACAACATGTGCAGCCCCCTTTGACGCAGATGAACGCAGAGGTCACCACTAACTTGAATTCGCGATACACTGGTGGCACTTCACCTGGAGTGCCGGCAGTCACTAGCCATAATCAGCAGCCACAAGTAGCGCATACCCAACAACAAAGTCAAGTCCAGCAACAAAAAACATCACCGCTCGGCTTGCGGTCGGCTTCCTCGCAGCCAGGCTTCGGAACGTCTAGTCCGCAGCCAAACAAACCACTTTTGGTGCAATTTCCAAACACTGGAGCCCCAGTGCAACTGTCAGCACCACGCGCGACATCTGAAAACGCCGTAAGTGGAAAAAGTTACAAGACTCTTATTCCGGCTAACCCTAGTGGTGAACCTCCAACGGAACTGTCGGATTCGTTCTCCGGTGCATTATCAATGAAATCGCCTGCTACCAACCTTACACTAATGGCTAACCAACAAGAAAAGCAGCGACCTCCGATTAAAAAGAATTGTTGCACTGTCAAGAATCCGGCAACAGGAGCTGACTGCACTCCATCGCTAATTGCGGGACAGGAGGTACTTCAGTAATGCCATCATTGCTGGTGCTGTGGTTTTCATTATTTTGTGTTTTCAGCCAAATTAACTGTGAAGTTCACAATTCTTTTTGCTCATTTTGAGAACCCGAACATGTGCGCAGCCTATCGTTCGGTTAATTTTGTTACGGGTACTTCAGTTTTCATTTGCATGCCAATGCAAACCTGAGTTGATCACCAGTTAAGTGCTAGCACAGTTGCTTGAGAACTTCCTCAGTTGTTTCATTAACTTCACTTTTTGGATTTTGTAGTGCACGCTTAGGTAGCCCAAAGCGGTAACAGTAAAAATTGATGATTTTGTCCTGATCCTACTTTGGATTCGTTAACCTTAGTCGCCCACTACTGTCACCTTGAAGTCTAGTGGAGCTTCGCTGTAACATTACTAAACTCGGCGGCTATCCGCACCGGTCCATCAGAACCTAAACGAGTCTCAGCGATCAACTTGGGTTTCAAGCCTGGTCGAGAAGGGCGGCCCAGAAACAAGGTCGTTTGACCGATTTCCTAGATGTGAGTTGGGGTGATCCATACCGATTTCACACTGCCTTACTGTTTCCGTGCAATGTCAGTTTCCAGAATGGACTTTCCCTCCTGGTATCCGCTTATGCACCTGGATGCGTCACTGATGGACTCCTCAGTTTATATTTTCGTCTCAAAATACGTTACTGTATGTCACGTGACAGCGTTATTTTAATCGGTTCCATATGATTGTACATATTTTACTGCTTCTAATTGTACTTCCCAAATGAATTTCACCGTTCATTTCGATAAACTATGTTTGAGTAATCCCTGTTCTGGAGGGCTTGCACATTGGATAGGGCGATAGTGGACAACGTGACAGGCTTGGTGCCACGGCGTCCAGATCATGCCGCGTGAATGACTCACCCATGGGTTGACCAACCCTCGTCGTGTACCCTGCCTTGGCGTCTGTCTCGGCATGGAAACCAACCAATAGGCTTTGAGGATTTACTATAATCTGATTGGCTAGACTTATCGACCGTCAATAACAGGGCCAATGGAGCGACGCAGTCAGAAGCCGCTTCATCCTCCAGAGGATGGTCGCGTCGCTTGCCAAGTTAGGCTCTTGTGTCGTGCAGGCAGCTCTCGATGCCTCCAGCTCGTCCTCAGTTGAATCGTTCTGGAGGGTGAGTCGCTATCTTGGTTTTTGTGCGATGCAATTCAGCACAGAACAACTAGTTTATTTCTTATCCACTTACCTATTTTCTGATGTTTGTTTTCAAGTGTTCCCATGTATATCGGTTCTATCATAGATGTTTCCTTGAAATCGATTTCTAGATGTGTCTGTAAGCGCCAGCTTAGCCTTAATGCAGTTAGGCATTCAACCATTCAAAGTTAGAAAGGAGTACATTATGCGTTCGAGATTCAATGTCCTCGGCTCATAGAGACTAAGTTTCGGACCTACATAAAATAAGGTACACATGACAGCATTGTAAATTCGACCATTGGCAGACGATCTGATGCCATTTTTACCCTGAATCCGGTGGTAAAAACATTCCCCCAGATCTTTCGCTGTCTACCAGAGCTCTCAGTTCCTCCTTGGGCATCGTGTTTTTCGCCGTTGGAGGGTTTCTGTTAAGCTACAGGCTTTTTTGGTCTTATGGTGTCTATCAGGAGGGCTGGTTTTAAATATGTCCACTGGTGGAGATCGCGTAAGAAACTTCGGGCGGGCGAATTCGAATGCTGCGAGCGTGGCTCTTGAATATTGCTACATCTCATCCACTTAATTATTATGGGTATTGAGCTAGCTCAGATCGATACTGCTGGAATATGGTATTTCTCTGAAGATGTGGGATCGAGCTTTTTTGCTACTCAAAATTGGTTCAGGGGGGGAAGGAATGATCTAAAGATTGATGGTCATTAAATTGGCTGTAAGCATGAATAACCAGTGAAGAATGGCGAACCATGGAGACTTGGACAAAGGAAAATTTAAGGAATGTATAAGGTTGGAGAGCAGAAAGGGAGGAATTCCAAAAGTGACCGATTCCGTAGCGACAGACTGACACTTGATATAGATGACTAGAGGAGCGTAGGCGCGTCGGTCGACTGGATGATCGTGGGAGGGGAACGAGAGAGGCGAGTCAGTGGAGTTACCGTGATACTGGCGCTGCATCCCGATGGTGACGTGGGTGATTTGTGGATTGTTGAAGGGGTGGTCTTCGATGCAGAGCTCTTCATCCTTTACTATGTAGGAGTATAAGATGTGGATGATTAGCGCACAGTGTGGGGTAGTGGCGTTCCGTAGGGGGAGGACGAAGCTGGCACTTTACAAGAGTAGTTCGGTAGTGGGACAATATTTGCAAGAGTGAAAAAGGAAATCCAGATTTCTGGATATCTCGTTCGCAACTAATTCCACATTTGATGGCAAATTGGGATTGTTTACAAAGTGGAGATCGAGAAGCGAACATCTGGATGATTGATATAGTGGGCTTGAATCAATAAACAGTGGGAGGTAGTCATAGAAACGGTAGTAGCAGAGAGGAGCGTGATTAGATTTCGGAGGATCAAATATAGCATAGTTCAACGCCCCCCAGGCACGAATGTTCGTGAAATCGGCCGGGGGGCGAGATAGCTCAAGTGGTTAGAGCACAAATTTACTGATCGAAAGGTCCGTGGTTCGAACCGAACCGCTGCATCTCGACTTCTTCTGTCTAGGCTTGGGCACCCTGGCAGTATCCCAGCACTCGGACTTCCTTCGACCGGCCGGGCAGCTATGCACTAGAAAGGTGAACGCGGTCGTCACTCTCAGATGAGGCAAATCCTTGAGGAAAGTAATTCAGGAATCTGTAGGATTGAGTCCTCTACAAAAGCGCTGGAATAACCAGAAACACGATAGGCAATCGAGGATGAACGAGAAGAACAATGTAATGGACCCGAGAAGGTACCTGGAGCTTAGATACGGAGAGAAATGTCATTCACACCAGGAGATTTGTAGCGGCATTAGGTAACCGCGAATAGCCCTAGATGAAATGGTAAATAACGGAAGATAATTTGGCTTTGCGGGATGGACTGGGACATAAAGTAGGGAGGAACAGGAGTTTGAGGAAAATGCTGCGAGTCTTTCGGCCTTAAGAGAGCTGGCTCACGGTTTATTCTTGTCGGCGATGTGTAGACGGGAGGCAGAACACACGTTCCAACTGACTGCTTCTGTAGGACTTCAGAAGTATCGACTTCTGGCAGATGTACCGGACTATTTCTCGGCCTTGAGGCTGTCGAACCTAACCGTGTCGATAGTGACAGTCCGTGGATTACTAGCAATAACAGTCCGAACGAGGTGAAGGAGAGGGATGGGGATGTCGGCTTTTATAGTCCAGGAAACAGATGGTCAAGATGGTTTGAAGGATTGCTAGATTTAAAAAGGGGTATAAATGGGTCATGGTGCCCATTATCATTCTTTTAAGGAAATCGCAGCACCAAACGACGGTGATACCGAAATGTGTAGGAGTTATTGCCTTCAATGCGTAGCTACCCGATTCCCGATCACCATCCTCATCGTCACCGACAGCATGACATCAGTGTTCAACACCGATGCTTCACTGTCGTACCAATTACCGAATTAACTGAACGTACCGTACCTCCGGCACACTCCCGCTTTCTGGTAGTCGAAACTGTAGCAGCTGAAGTGTGCATGTGGTACACGGTTTATAGCTAGCCGACTAATTGATTGTAGGAGATGGTGGAAAGCAAACGCAAGTACGTAGTGACTGGTAAGAAAAAACAACGGAGCTAGAGGAAACAACGGAATCTCATGAGAGATGGGTGGCTAGGATGAGGTCTAGGGTCTGTAGTGAGTTCACCATCGCCCTCCAGAATTGTTAGTCTTATTGGCTTTCTATCCCTGTCTAGGCTTGGGCGACCTGGCAGTATCCCAACCCTCGTGCCTACATTGAGTGGCATGGCAGCTAGGCACCGAAAGGGTGCTACAGCTGAACGATTGTGGTCGTTTTTTATTATTGACTTTCTATGTTGAATTCGTGCACAGTTCTCAAAGTGCATTTACTGCCCGGAACCAAATAATGTCCTCTTTCTTCCTCATACTTTGAGTTAGGGACTTCAACTGTGGAGCGTTTACGTACGACGCGATCCCTAATTGTCACCGTGTCATCAAAATATACATGTCTGTCGAAACTGATTTCGTAATTTCGCTGTTCCACAGGATCACCCTAGTATCTCTCCACAGAAATTTTTTCAAGGGCATGGCAGTAGGCACCGAAAGGGTGCTACAGCTGAACGATTGTGGTCGTTTTTTATTATTGACTTTCTATGTTGAATTCGTGCACAGTTCTCAAAGTGCATTTACTGCCCGGAACCAAATAATGTCCTCTTTCTTCCTCATACTTTGAGTTAGGGACTTCAACTGTGGAGCGTTTACGTACGACGCGATCCCTAATTGTCACCGTGTCATCAAAATATACATGTCTGTCGAAACTGATTTCGTAATTTCGCTGTTCCACAGGATCACCCTAGTATCTCTCCACAGAAATTTTTTCAAGTTGTGTTAACCGCAAGGTGCACCTGCAATCGTGAGCCGCAGTATGATGTTTGCTGAATGTCCAGAATATTGGGTACAGAAATAGCAATTCAAACTCCGCTACACGTGTCCCTTTATAACCTACAGTTCATCTGCGAATACATTTCACGCTGACGTTCGTCCGGACATCTTCCTTATGAGCCCATCGATTGTATTCACCCACGAGAAAGTGGACATTTCATCAATAAAGTGTACGGTTAATTTCCACCGGTCGTTACATGTTGGCTCAGTGGTTAGAGCGCGAAGTCACTGACCGGAAGGTCCGTAGTTCGAACCCGACCTTAGCCTCGACTCCCCCTGTTAACGCTTGGGAAACTGATAGTATCCCAGCCCCTGTACTTCCTTCTGGTGGCATGGCAGTTTGCCACTTAAAGCATGCTACATCTGAACGAGTTTTAGCATGTTTTCTCTTGTGTACAGCGCGTCCGTTCTTCCGTTACTGTAATCATTGTCTAAATCAATAACATGTGACCTTTCGTACTGACTAAACTGGTGTCTCCTGATAAGAGCCGGAGCTGTACTGCAAACTAAACTGGCGTCTCCTGATAAGAGCCGGAGCTGTACTGCCTTGGAACCCTGTTTTTTGCAGATACCTGGGCTGTCGCGGAACGCTGCAGACTGACGTAGGTTGATGTTTGAAAACAGTTAAGATACCATCGACCACTGGATCGGACAAACCCAGGCGTTGACAAACGCCGTGTATAAAACGCTGAAAGGTCTTAGTAGCGTTTTTCAGACCAAAAGACATTTCAAGGAGCTCAAAAGATCGTGCAGTGTGCTCACCGCTATCTTGGTAATATCCGCTTCAGCGGCAGTAGACAGACACGCACCATATCTATCTTGCTGTTAACTCTTGCTGATACAGGGCCGTCGACTACCTGTTTCCGGCGGTGCCCAAAAGACATTCGTTGGTCTAATGAATTTCAGACGGATCACGTTCTCCAACTTCACTTTAATCTTGACAAGCCCATTGGGGTTAATCTTCAAGGTAGGCCCTATGCGACGGTATGATGTTCAGGCCTCGTCCATACTTTAGCACTTTATTCGGAGATTGGCTAGACTTTTGAAAGTCGTCATTTGAATTGAAAAATATTGAGCGGGTTGTCCGGATGTCGGCAGAATTACCGCGTCTGAAGCTTGGCGGTCCGGTCAGTGACCTGGAACCGACAGTTATCTACGGGTGAGCCGAAATGTCACACATTTGTCATTAAAATGGTGACCCTGAAAATACTGGGAAAGTCTCTCTGAAGGCCTCAGCCAACACTCAGGAGTCCGTAAGGTGCCTTTTACAGCCTTCAGTGCTAGGACGTTGACGGCTTGGCTGTCTGCGGTAGATGGTGTCCCCTATCTATCACGTACCTTTATCAAGGTCCCTTCCCCTGCGTAAGATAGGTACCTTCTGATATCTTCGGTAGTGGGCGTCACAAACACGCTGCATTTTGATGACCCCGCGGTGGTTAAGATATTCTTGGTGGCAAGCATTTTCTCGCTACACTCAAACTTCTGATATCAGAATGAGTGCGGTCAGTGGTGTGCGAAACAATGCGTGTAGGAGATTTACAGCTGGTTGATTTTCTGTGGCTGTTTTCCACTTCAAGGTCAGCTTTTATGGCCTAATTCATCCATGATGAGCACTTAGTCACATTGCATTGTGCTGTGGCATTTCATTTTCGTGATAATAGGAGCTGATGATCGCCTGTGGATGGCGTCTGCGAAATCTACAGTCCTTTCCTTGAATAGACTGAAGACAATACGGATGATCTAGTTAGAGATGCAATCCAGACTCCTAAATACAAGGAAAGGTAGCTCAGGAGCACCACTAATGATACACCTTCAGCACCCCAACCGGGCCAAGCAGACGAACATGTAAGATGACAACACTATCCAGTAAGCTACATAGTTGTAATGAATGAACAACTACCCGGAAGTGAGGTGTATTTCAGACAGGACCTCGAAAAAAACTCAGTGGTTAGAGCGCGAATTCACTGACCGGAAGTTTTGTGGTTTGAGCCCCACTTCAGCACCTCGACTGTGTCTGTCTCGCGTTGGAAAACCTGACTGCATCTCAGCCCTCGTGCTTCATTCGGGTTGGATGGTGGCTAGGTGCCGAAAGAATGTTACAGCTGAAGATTATTCAATGTTATTCTAGTCAGGACGGATAACACCCCAGTCTTAACGACAATAGTAATGGAACCACGGTCGACGTACGGATGATGGGGGCTATTCAAAATACAAATACCGAAAACACGGGAGAAATTTGTGGAATTGTGGAATTGTTGGTACGTGCGCGTCATTTAGTGGGTCCCTCTCTTGCCCCGGTGGTTCTGTGGACTACAGTGGCCATGGCTTGCATGTTGGGCTGCATAGCCAGGTAGCCGAAAAAAATCTGGTATTCAGTCGACAAGCAGTCAGATCACCAAACAGTTGTGGCTATGCATCTGATTGGCTCCTTTGTTTCCTGACCTCGCTATATCCAATCCCCATGAATACTGAAGCCACTCAAAGAAGTTCCTTCGGCCAGGCACACAAAGGACAATTGTTCCTAGGTTTCGACCCAGTCCAAAGTGCTGGAGAGAGTAAGATTGTGATGTAACTGCATGGTAGGGACAGAAATGACTGAAGTCAGCCCGTACCAGGCGTTTAAAGTCACTCACTGAGGTAATGGCGGTATCAGGTTACGTTGACTGCGTCGTAGTGGGCTTCCGGGTGAATGGAGTATTTTGAGGAAATTAAGAGAAACTAGTATGAGAACTGAAAGATGACGGCAAGTCCTTATGTTTTAAGATGATTTATCCCTTTTTGATGTATCGAAACTATCTGTCGAGTGATGACTACAAAGAAATAATAGTTCAACTGTAACATCCTTTCGGTGCCTAGATACCGTGCCACCCAAGTAGGTACGAGGGCTGATTTGCTGCCAGGTCACCCAACCCTAGATGGGACCAGTCGAGGTGCCGAGGTTCGATTCGAACCATGTACCTTCCGATCAACAAGTCAGCGCCTTATCCATTGAGTTATCCGTATCTCAATTGAGGAGCACAGAAAACTCATACACGTGCATGTATATATGGCACTATTAGGTTTTAGGCTGGAGAAAATGGCACAACTACCGGTAGTTTGCTCTACAACAACGTTGTGGCTTAACTTATCCTACAAGGAGGCCCGAAACACACGTGGACCGGGAGGATAGAGAAGCTTCTAGAATCGGCAGTTAATGATGCAACCAAAACCCAAGGATTTTAGCTAAGTGGAGCGCACCGGGGTCCAAGCAGTTGTTTCAGGTTGGAGGATAGACAGGCGACGTTAACATCCTGCCAAACTACCAAGGTAATAACCGGTTGGCTAAAGACTGAGGCGCTTTTGTAGAGCTTGTCCTACTGTCCCTGTGAAAGAAGGACTCGCTAGGATAAAAGCAGTCAGATACCCACTAGAAAAGGGCAGGCTTCTTTCTCATTAAAAAATCTCTTCTGGCCTCAAAAGACATGTTGCGCGAACCGTAGAAAATGGTATATACAACGCAAGCACGTGTGGTGAGTCGTAGTGCTGGACGAGTTGTTTGTCCATGGTATCTCCTCTGGAGCTTGGACGAAATGGAGGTTGGTGAAGGGGCGATTGGGTCTGACATTGGTGCGTTGTGTATGACGCCTGGTGTGTCGGTTTGTTTCAAAAACGCTGACTGCGCTTCCTCCGTCCTTACCAACGGCAACATACCTCCGTTCTATGAAGGACACGGTGAGGTCTAGTGTAAGGGGCTGAAATGATGGCTACGTGCTGTCAGCTCTCACAAGCGCTTGTATGCAATATGTGAGGTGAAGCTAGCTTGAGTCCATGAAGATATTCTCATAGGTAGTTGGAAATAAACGGCTTTTGGGAGGCTAGTTCGCCAGATGGTCAGAGGAAGCAGACACAAAACAGCTTCAACTGTACACTTTTGAAGGTTGGGTTTTACGGTGTTCCTCAGAACTAGAATGACCAGCAGAAGAGGCTCGACACGATTGGTTGCTGTGGACCAGGAGAAGCCGAATCCAACTCAATCGCTCCTTTAGCGACTGGATGGTGAGCTGCCGTTTGTGTGTCTGAAACCGAGACTGTTCATAAACTGCTGGTAGTGAATTCCTCAATCCTAACTGATGCCTTTAGTTACTACCACAAAGCAGCCGCACCAGGGGAGGTAGCGTTCAACGAGTGATCTTTTGATTTGCCGTCAGCGACGTCAATGGTCGCACTATATTGGATGAGGCAGACGGTTAACATACTCATCTTCAGGGGTACTATCCATGAGAAGAACTTGGGTCCTCGGAACACGTCCGTAAGGGTTGGAGAAGTGATGGGTGGTCGCCTGGCTCCTCTGAGACTAAACGGGCTTCTACGTTATTTAATGACCCGGTAGTTTCGTAGTAAGGCCTTCCAAAATTAGAAAAGACAATTTTGATAGCTGTCAGAGGCGAACGTTGCAAGAAACAATAAATGGCGCAGTGGACGTGTAACCTCGTTTCAATGAAAGAATAAGGAATGAGGGTTCAGCTGCGGCACCCTTTCGGTGCATGCTGTCATGCAACTGGAAAGAGCTGAGGTACTTTCAAGTTACTCCCGGCCAGACGGGAGCAATCGAACAGCCAAGGTTGAGTTCGAACCATGCACCATCCGCCCGGTATTTTCATCCCCTAACTGCTGAATTGTCTCGATCTCTTTGGCTTGACTTACTCACTTGGGATTGTAGCAGTCTCCATTGCTAAGTCGGTCTGGAGTAGTATCATTTCCCCCATTAGCTATCGGAGCAGCTGGACCTTTTAGTCCCTTTGCCCCTTGTATGGTGGTATATGTGTCTTTCACAAGATGACCGAGCTAGTAGATCGAACGACGTGTGCCTTAACTGAGTCAGTGGCGCTTACTACCTATTCCAAGCTGATGCTATCAGTAGGTTTTGAATGAATGCCGAAAACTTCGCACCCAGACCCCGTGAATCGAAGCGCAATCAATAGGGTCTCATATGTTCCGCTCATGCGTTGCCTTTTTGACTTTTAATGCGGGGCTAACAAAAATGAGATGCTGGGTGCTGATTCCCTGGTCCTATCACTCTCGATATAACTCAGTGGTTAAGGTACCGACTTACTGACCAGAAGTTCCGTGGTTCGAACCCGACCTCTGCCTCTCGAGTTCCCTTTCTAGGCTTGACAAACTGGCAGCCCAAGCTCTCGTGCTTCCTTCGGGTGGCATGGCAACTAGGCACCGAAAGGGTGTTACAGCTGAACAGTTATTGCAGCTCTTAACGTTCGAACCCTTAAACAAGCCGCTTGTACCCGTACTCTCGATGCTTTACCGAGATATTTTTGTTGCACTTTCGGAACTTGAATACGAGTTTCAGGTATAGTAATTGAGCCTACGGCAACTTCGTTGTCTATCCGCTATTGACTGCGAACTTCAGGTGCTTGTTCAGCTGCCACAGATGGTTGCTCCCGTGTTGGTGTACCCCTCCACTCGCGGGGTCAAGATTCCATGCTTGACTGGATACCTGTATACAATCTTCTCTGTGTTGTTTGTCTGTCCACTTCCATAAGCACTGGCACCGGTCGAATTGCTAACTCTCTTTTTCTATGGTTTGTGCTAGTGCTGGAAACTTCTACAGCCTCGGTTCTTTGGAAGACATATTTTATCGAGAAATAGCCATCCTCTGTTCAATAAGAGGATATAGCTCTAATCTCAAGAACTTCCGGTGCGCAATAGGGCAACTCAGTTCATACAGAGCTCAGTTTACTGGTGGTTGATCAGGTGGCGCAATTCGGATACCCCACAACACCTAACCTCCGTTCATGGTATCGCTAAAGTGACGTGTAATTCAAACTACAATGTCGCTGAAGTGTGTGTGTGTGTGGGGGGTGAGTTTGAATTAGTGCAGTTGTATGTTGGCACCGGTTGAAGTTTAAGATCCAGTAAGATGCATACAAACCGATCGACTGATTTCTGACCAGTACACAGCATCGGTCGTGAGATGTCATGAAAAAATGAATATGCACCACAGCAGAGGCCCGAAATTCATCGTTAACCAGATACAGCCATGGCTTTTGGCTTGCATGCATCCGTCACTCTATATACCTTATGTGGACTGATTGTTGTATCTATTCCCTTGTACAGCTTAGCTAAGTTAATAATCGAACTGTGAATGCGTTGCGTGTGTCAAAAGTCATCGTTCTTTTAGAAAGATCAGCACCAATGGTTATGTTGCGTTGAAAATCCGAAAATGCCTCCTTTGGACTAGTTACTCGTTAAGTAAAACATGGTTCAATCCACTCCTAACTGACTTGAACAGAACAATATGGTATGTTGACTCTACAACTCGGTTCCAGACACCTACCCGAGCATGTCTACTATCTAGGAGCACACGGTTGATTTTGTGGTGTGTTATCCGTCCCAGTTATATCCCTTCCCTCTCAGACAGTTCCTCCCTGACAACAGGGTCGCAAT